AGGCCTCTCACTGTTGTGGCCTCCCCCATTGCGGAGCACAGGCTCCGGACGCGCAGGCCCAGCGGCCATGGATCATGGGCCCAGCCGCTCTGCGGCATGTGGGATCTCCCCGGACCGGGGCACGAACCCGTTGCCCCTGCATCGGCAGGCGGACTCTCAACCACTGCGCCACCAGGGAAGCCCGCTTTTATTCTTAATAAACCCCGAATGGCACTCTTTTCAGCAGATTCTCCCGCCTCTCGGCTGTAATCCATGTCTACTAGGAACACGGTGCAAGGAGACAGATGTTCTCCCCAGATGCCGACGATCTGGGTGGCAGTGGCAATTCTGAATCAGCAGACACCACACACGTCCAAGTATGTCAGCACTGGCACGACGTACTGATTCAGTAGATCATCGGTTGGTCTATTTCTCCAGCGGGCACTGTGCTAAGCTCTAACCAATAGAGAACTCCAGCTTTTGCTAATGTCACCAGAGTAATGACCAGATTTGGAGGGCATTTACGTGTGAGCGCACAGAACACAGGGAGTCAGACATCATCCCAACACTCTCATCTGCCTTAATCCTCTGTACTCCTTCCAACATCAAAGCCAGAATCGCGGGCACTGATAAAGCCGGTTTCATAATATCAGAAAATGTAAATTTGATTTTCAGGAACAATACATATACATGCGTAAAGCCCGTGGGCTTGAAAGTGTATTTGAACTATACTAGGAAATGCACAGATACGGTATCTCCTCCTCTAATTTTAGAGAACTAAAGCTAATTGTAGAAATTTAGAAACTGAGTAACGGTTTTCACAATTAAAGCAAGAGCAAACAAATACAACTTTTTATAACATACTTTTTTTAAAGAAAAAGTCGATATCCCTGCTAATAAGTAATTGTGAATTTAATATCAATTAGTCTCTCCCCAAAATGCGCCCAGGTGGGAGTCGCAGCTACCCAGTTCTACTGCCTCTGGGCCAAGCCTTTACGTAGAAGAAATAGAACATGGGAGGGAGAGGGTGCAGTATCTGCCCCCAAAAGTAACCTGTAGATAAGGGGGAGATGTGACATTAACTCACTCTAAAAGTAAAAACTTAAAAACAAAGGGCTTTGCTTTCAATTCTAAATGTTCCTGGAACCGCTAGCCAGTTTTATGGGGAAGGTGATCATCATTTGGCTGTTTTCACATTTCTATTTTAAAAACCACTGATAGAATTGTCATTTTATCTATTTAATGGTCATTACTTTCATGCCTCTTTTGACCCACTAAAGACATCCACTAATGAAAGGAAGCGAAAAGTCCTTCTTTACTTCAAAATCTTTACTCCCTGGGCATCATCAAAAGCATCTTGCAAAGAAGCAGTGTCACCCAGGCCCTGCTACTGAGTGTTGCACCGAGGTCTGCAGCCCTGGTCTGAGGCCTCCTGCCTGAAACAGAACAGAGCTGGGACCCGCCCGCCACCTGGGACGTCACCTGGGGCAGGAGACGCTGGGTGAGGCGCCTTACCTGTGTCATCTCTGGACCAAGAACAACCAGCACATTGTCAATACCACTGGGATGACACCATTAGGAAAGTGAGGTCCATCAGACAGCGGCAAAGCCACAATTCAAATCTGGTGGAAGCCAAGACTCTGCCCTCGCCCTGGGGAACACCATTCTCTGGAACTCTCTCTTTATACTTTACATTTTAAAAACACCTGTCAGGGACTTCCCTGGTGGTCCAGTAGCTAAGACTCCACGCTCCCAATGCAGGGGGCCCGGGTTCGATCCCTGGTCAGGAAACTAGATCCCACATGCCGCAACTAAGAGTTCGCATGCCACAACTGAAGATCCCGCACACCACAATGAAGATCCTGCATGCTGATCCCACGTGCCACAACTGGGACCCGGTGCAGCCGAATAAATAAATAAATAAATATTAAAAATAAAATAAAATAAAATAAAAACACCTGTCAATTTGGGGCAAATACAGAAATCTTACCTCCTCAACCACACCAAGGACATTGGGGTTTTTGTTGATTTATGTCACTTTAAAAATATGATAACACATTTTGAAATTATCTCTAAATTTTGTCTTAAGGGGAAAAGGCACAGGCCACAGTTACTGAAAGCAAATCATTCTTGAGTGAAAATGCTGCAAAAACACCAACAGGCTTGTGAATATACAGAACTTATAATAACAACATCACCTATCGTGCTAACACCCAAATATAACACCCTGTTACGTAAGAAGGTTCTGACTATAAAACCTCTTAGTTTCTATCATTTGGGGATAGTAGGGAAATGTGGATGCATGGGTGTTAGTTACAGTGACAACAAAAAATATCCTATTTTTGTAACCTTTCAAAACTCAAAAATTAATTAAAAATAAAGTGTATAAAATAATATCCTTTCTGGGGTGATGCTTCCCCGTTACCTTAAACTATTTAAACTGAAGAAACTGGGATATTATAATCAGACTCTAGGGACCCACTGATGAAAGGTCATCTAAAAAGAGTCTGAGAGGAACGAGGGCCATCCCTCACAACTACTTGGATTTGCTTGGCTGAAGCACTTCACCACAGTGCCTCAATTCCCCTAAAATGAATACCATCACATCTATTGCAGTAAATAGGGCATGATATATATTCCCTTCAAGTTAACAGAGCCAGTTTGGTACCTTGCTTCCTTGAGATAGCCCAGTGCCTAAGCTCAATCAGGGGCCTCACAAATACGTGTGCCCCAAGTCAGGGTCTCTGAAAAGATTGCTATAAGATGCTATCAACCACAGGAGTCATCCTCTCTGCCCAAAACCTCCTCCAAGGACAGGCCTACAGATGGGGAGCGGCTGGCACTGGCCAATTTTTAAGGATACATCATCCATAATTAGTGACTCGAGGAACAACAATGAATAAAACGCAAAGACAGTTGTTTGACTACAGACACCCACCTCCCACGTAAGCCCAAACCTCGGAGTGTAAGCTGGACTGTTCGTTCTCAGTTCGATCATTAACTGATTCTCGAATGAAACCATGGGTTTGGTTCTCATCAGTAACTTGCCCTGGACAGTCCCAGACCAAACACAGAATCCTACCAGCCCCTCCAGAACGTGGTTCTCCAGACCGTTCTAGGAAGAACTGACATAAAACATGGTCTGCTTGAATGCAGGTTTAGACCAGAGACATTAAGACCAAAATGGGCTTCCCTGGTGGCGCAGTGGTTGAGAGTCCGCCTGCCGATGCAGGGGACACGGGTTTGTGCCCCGGTCTGGGAAGATCCCACATGCCGTAGAGTGGCTGGGCCCGTAAGCCATGGCCGCTGAGCCTGCGCGTCCGGAGCCTGTGCCCCGCAATGGGAGAGGCCACAACAGTGAGAGGCCCGCGTATCGCAAAAAAGACCAAAATGAATGGACGAATGATCTCCCCTCCTGACTTTTCCAAACACAGCATCTTCAATCAAGACTTCAGGATGGGAAGACGTTGGGGAGGTCGTGAAGGAAGAGCTGGCTGCTGCCAAGAAGGTCCTGCTATAGCTCCTGAGTTTACCACTACCTAACCTGAAGTCGGGACCGGTCCGAAGGTGGCAGGTGCCATCTGTGCCTTTTCAGCGGTTCCCTTCTGAGACTGGAGACCTCAGCCTGCCCTGAACACGGGTCCACAGCTTCCACTGCTCAGGCCTCCGATAGTGTAAGGAATATAAAGATGGAACTCCCATTGTAATCCGTAGCACTTAAAAATTGGATACTGGCCGATTCTACTAAGAAGATGTCTTATGGAATTTTAAAAAGTGATTTAAGTGCATGACTAGAAGACTTTCTCATGAAGGTCTTCTTCCAGAAGATATTTTTTGAGACAGGCAATATACCTGCAACTTCCATGTGGAAGACAGGCTCTTGGTGCTCCAGCCAGGCGTCAGGGCTGAGCCTCTGTGGTGGGAGAGCCAAGTTCAGGAAACTGGTCCACAAGAGACCTCCCAGCTCCACGTAATATCAGACAGCGAAAATCTCCCAGAGATCTCCATCTCAACGCCAAGACCCAGCTCCAATCAACGACCAGCAAGCTCCAGCGCTGGACACCCTATGCCAAACAACTAGCAAGACAGGAACACAATCCCACCCATTAGCAGAGAGGCTGACTAAAATCATAATAAGGCCACAGACACCCCAAAACACACCACCAGACATGGACCTGCCCACCAGAAAGACAAGATCCAGCCTCATCCACCAGAACACAGGCACTAGTCCCCTCCACCAGGAAGCCTACACAACCCACTGAACCAACCTTAGCCACTGGCGGCAGACACGAAAAACAATGGGAACTACGAACCAGCAGCCGGCGAAAAGGACACCCCAAACACAGTAGGTTAAGCAAAATGAGAAGACAGAGAAACACACAGCAGATGAAGGAGCAAGGTAAAAACC